CATGGGGGAGGGAGGAGAAAGAGAGGTTGTTAAACACATCATAACACAAACATATATATAAAAAACGATTGAACTGAGAAACCGTCTGGTCTTATCACTCGCCAGACTTGTGCGGGGCGTCTGCATCAGCGCATCTGGCCCTCCTACATCGGGGTCAGCTCGCGGATGCATGGTCCCGAACCTGTATGAATTTGACCTGAGGCCCGTTAGTGTTTGCGTGAGCACGTCTGCGGGGTTGTCCCCGTACAAAGGCCTTCCCGCCCGTCGGTCCCTACGTCACCCATGGAGTCGGGGAGATTCCTGTTGTGTAAAGGGGTCGCTGAGCTACTAGGATCCTGTCGGGGGGGGGAGGGGTCATGTCACCGCCGTTTTGGTGCGTCTACTAGCCACAAGAGTCCCTACGTGTGCGTCCCGTTGGGTGTGGTGCCCTGACCTAGCCTGCCCAAAGTGCGGGAGTGCCCCCGTGAGTTTGTGGATCCAGGTATACCCAGTGTCTAGCCTATGTGTCCGTTCCCCATAGATGGGTGGATCTCAGTAAGGTGTTGTTTGCCATCCAATGTGTGCATGTGTACAGTAGCATGACCTGTCTGTGTCGGTTCCGGACGTTCCGTATAGTATATCTCTGTGAAATGGCCCGTTGGCCCTGTGGGTCTGGTATCAGTGACTAATCGGTTGCTTAAAGTCGTTATTGCATGTCCTAGGGCATGCGGCCCCCTGGGAAAAAAGGGGGGGGGGGTCAGTAGGAGTTATAGTCGCTAACGTCAGTCTTACAAAATATAAATCTGGTTTCTCCCCCTCCCAGCAGCACTCCCATCCCCACTGCCACGAAAGTGGTTACATGTCCGCTTTTTAGATGAGTCCAGCATCCCCCACCCAAAAGTGTTATACCCGAATGGCATTCCGCCAGCGTGTTCCTTGTTAGGAAGGAAAAAGATATAGAGAGGGGGCAAATTCCTTTTTTTTTTCCTTCCCCTCCCCCCCGCCCCCCCCACTCTTTTGCTTGTGGATATAGGACAGAACCCTCCCCCCCCCATTATATATATATATTTTTTGTGTGTTTTGTTTTTACCCAAGGATAGGGAAAACCCCTCTGCTCTTTACGTGAGGTAGTGGGCTATGGTTGTAACAGACCCGGGAGCAGTGGTGTATCCTGGTTTTGTGCTGCCCTAGGCAGGACAAAACTCAGGCGCCCCCCCCCACCCAACCCCCTTCCCACCCACCCCCACACACACACACACAACAGACACAAACACACACACACAGTCAGACACATACACAAACACACACACACAGTCAGACACAACACACACACACAGTCAGACATACACACACACACACAGTCAGACACATACAGACACACACACACACACACACAGTCAGAGACACACAACACAACACACACACAGTCAGACACACACACAGTCAACACACACATACACAGTCAGACACACACACACACACACAGTCAGACACACACACACAGTCAGACACAAACACACACAGTCAGACACAACACACACACACACAGACACACACACACACACACATACACAGACACAAACACAGTCAGACACAAACACACACAGTCAGACACATACACAGACACAAACACACACTCACAAACACACACACAGTCAGACACAAACACAGACACAAACACACACAAACACAAACACAGTCAGACACAAACACACACACACACAGTCAGACACAGACACACACTCACACACACACACACAGTCAGACACAAACACACAGTCAGACACAAACACACACACACATTAACTTTTTTTTTATTTAAATCCCCCCCCAACCTCCTTACCTTTGGGAGTGCTGGGGGGGGGTCTCTCTCCCTGGTGGTCCAGTGTGGGCAGGCGGGCGGGCGGCGGCCATGAGCTGACTGCTCAGCTCCCTCGCGCGTCGGCTGCAGTGAGGCTGGGAACCGGAAGATGACGTCATCTTCCGGCTCCCAGCCTCACTTTGCGGTGCGCGAGGGAGCTGAGCAGTCAGCTCATGGGAAGTGCTCCCTCGCCGGCCGCCCACCTGCCAGCGCCGCCCGCCCGCTCGGGATGTCAGTTAGCCGCATGGCTAACAAGGCATCTGCCCTGGGCATTTGGGGGGCGTCGTTTTTTGCCGCCCCCTGAAAAATGCCGCCCAAGGCAAATGCCTTGTTTGCCTCGCGGCTAATACGTCCCTGCCCGGGAGGTGGGGGTGAGTCAATACCCGCCCTTCGTGTCCCTTGTCATCTCACCCTCCCGGAGGTGTCCATCTGGGCTAGGCGGTCCGGGCGCGGGTGCCTGGTGTGTCTGTTCTACGGTGTGTGACTCCTTTCTCCCGCTGTATGCCATTCTCTGGGTAGTAGCTGCAGGTCTGTCGGAGACGCCGTCTGCCAATGAAGGTCTGTCGGAGCCTGGAGGTTGAGCGCCTGGAGAAATGCCACTGCGTCCCAGTCAGGTGGCAGGATCTTTGGTCTGCCGTTCTTGAAAGCCATAAGCTTAAAGGGATGGCCCCATGCATATTTTATGTTGTGGGTTCTGAGGATGTCGGTAATCGGTCGCCATTCTCTGCGCCTCTGAAGTGTTGCTGGGGCCAGGTCCTGGAACAGGAGTAAAGTGTTCCCTTTATACTTGATGGGGCTTTCTCTGCTGTTCTTCATTATAGTTTCTTTCGTTTGGAAATGTTGGAAGCGCATAATGATATCCCTCGGCTGTTTGGCATCTGTCTTCCTGGTTCCCAGGGCCCTGTGAACCCGGTCAAGATGCCACAGATGGTCAGGGATGTCTGGTGCCAGGGGTTTTAGGATCGCCATGACTGTGTCTGTCAGGCCACCTTCCCCCTCTTTTTCTGGTAGGCCCCTCAGCCTAATGTTGTTTCGGCGGGAGCGATTAGCTAAATCTTCCAGGGCTGTCTCTGCTGCTATCAGTCTGGCTGTGAGGGTATTCACCCGGCAGGTAACCTCATTGTGTGCCAGGACTGTTGTCTCTTGCCTTTGTTCCAGGGTGGTCGTGTGGTGCCCAAGTGCCGCGATCTCGGCCTTCACCTCCGCCGCGGATCTACTTATCTCCCCTGCCAGGTATGTTTTAACCTCCAGCAGTTGTGCCAGTATCTGGGAGGTCTCTCCGTTCGACAAGCCGTGTCCCTGGGGGGACTCCGGGTGCTCCTGCACTGGGGAGGTCCTGGGACTAGGTGCTCTCTTGGGGTATGTAGTGCTTTGTAGATGTGCCGTTGTAAGCTATTAGGCCTCGGTTCGGCGGGAGCTCAGCATCGCGGTCAGGCCACGCCCCCCAGAAATCTTGCTTTTTGTTTAGTTATACACCATTTTTTTTTTTTTAAACTTGACATATAGTTAAAAAAAATAATCTCAATCTTGTAGTTTGAAGAAAAAAAAAAGTTCAAATATTTTTGTGGGTATATGTTCTTAGATTGTTCAACTAGAGCAGGCCTACCCAAACTACGGCCCTCCAGATGTTGCTGAACTACAACTCCCATGATTCTCAGCCTATTTCATTCATAGAATCATAGCTGTTGTAGTTCAGCAACCTCTGGAGGGCTGCAGTTTGGGGAAACCTGAACTAGAGAAACATCTAAAACTAAAGATTATTAAGATCTAGAAAAGTTAAAACTAATCACTTTACTGAATGTTTACATAGATAAATAACTTCTAAATAAAGTCTGTTGGTGAGCACTGATATGTGCCCAGTTAAAAATGAAGATGGGAAAATCAATAATAGAGTTGTGATTACTTATATTTAATTGCATAATTTTCTGGTTATACATTTCCTAATATATCAACAACTATCTTCATTCTATCATTATCCCACAGTCTAGGCTCACTACCTTACAACAGTGGTTCCCAAACCAGTCCTCGTGCACAGCCCCCTACCTGTCCTGGATTTAATGATTGCACAGGTGTGTCTAAGGGGAAGAAGGAAAGAAAGGAAAAAACAAAACACACACCTTGGACATAACTGGGTAATCCCTACGTACTGGGCTGGACGGCAGCTGGACGTTGAGGAATACACTGCCTTGCAGCATATTCCTTTAATTCTATGCTATACCTTAATTAACTCTCTAAAACCCATACCATACGGTTTACCTAATCACATGCCATGCCTCACCGTGATCCCCAATTCTATTACTTACCCCATTAATATATGCCTAAAACCATGCCATACACAAGCTGTATTCAAGTAATTATGTCCAACCTCAGGCTTATTTTGCTAATCTCATGTCATGCCTCAACTTTACTTTCCTTAGGGTGGGAATTTCACAGAATTGGAATTGCTTTAAAGGGACACTGTAGTCACTAGAACAACTACAGCTTATTGAATTTGAGTAGAATCATTACCTTCAGGCTTTTTCCTGTAAACATTGTCTTTTCAGAGAAAATGTAGTGTTTACATTGCAGCCTAGTGATCACTTCACTGGCCACTCCTCAGATGGCTGTTAGAGATCCTTCCTGGGTCATGGCTGCCTAAAATGCACCCAAACATTCAGTTTCTCCTCCCTCTGCATGCAGATACTGAACTTTCCTCATAGAGATGCATTGATTCAATCAATCTCTATGAGGAGATGCTGATTGGCTAAGGCTGTGTTTGAATTGTGCGGGCTCTCCCCCTGATCTGCCTCTTTTTTCAGTCTCAGCCAATCCTATGGGGAAGCATTGTGATTGGATCAGGCTACCACTTCTGCTGATGTCAGCAGGCAGTGGGCAGGTATAAAGGAAACTGGGACAAAGCCAGCAGCTTCAGACTTTAATACAAGTAAGATTGTACTATATTCAGGGAGGAAGGAGGGGACCAGGATGGTTAGATGGTGGTTTTAACCCTATAGGGTCAGAAATACATGTTTGTGTTCCTGACCCTATAGTGCTTCAACATCTTCAAAAATAATTCATAGCACTCGCAAACAGAGCAAGGACAAGTTTTGTTCAACGCTTCCTTACCTTCGCAAGATAAACAGACGCTTGACTTATAATAGGAGACATAGGATGGAGTAAGTGGTTTTACATGTGAAGGTTTTAATGCTCTAAGAAACAATACATATTTTCGGTTTGTTTTTTTGTTTTACAGAGGGAAATGTTTTTTTCCATTATCTGTTTTTACTACAAAATAACTTATCGTTGAGTAGCAAAACAAGACTCAGATTATAATCATTAAGTGCATTGAAATTTATTTTTACATTTGCAGTGAACAGCGGCATCTCCTGCAACAGTTAAGAATAAAAACATTAACTAGACATATTATATACGCATTACTCCAGTGTTGAAGTGATACAATGTACATATGAGCAAAGAAGATTAATAAATACAGTTCAAATCTTTCTATATATAAAAAACAACATTTGAAGTCATTGGTCATTAATAAGTTTCTCCCCATTCTCTGCCTCTGTCATCTTCTCAAGGTCGTCTTCATCAGCTTCATCTGTAATTGAATTAACCTGGCCATAAGAGAGGGTAGTGCGAGCCAGATCCACCTCAATAGGGAAAATATCTGCCTCTTTCAGGACTTCAAAGCACTGGTCATCATATTTGGACATGGCAGAGACAAAGCGTTGGAGCTGGAACACAATATCTTGAACTGTGGAGGTACGAGAGAGTGCGTGAGTAGCTTACATATATCTGTTGAAATTTTAGTATACGCCCTGTGATAATATATTTGGTACCCCAAAGATGAAAAACCTCACAATGTGCAAACTGATGAGTCATGCAAACTAATTGCTTGCCATTTAATAATATGCATTCAGTCCAATTCTGGCTCTTAGGTACTCTAAAAATGTAACTTAAAATTGGTCTGTCAATCATATATCCGTTCTTCCCTTATTTGAGTCCATACTTAGAATTGATTATTTAAGGGGAAAAAAAAAAGACATTTTTACTTATATCCCATTAAAAAAAAAAAAAAATATATATATATATATATATTTTTTTTTTTTCCCAACACTTGGACACAAAGATCTGTAAAACAAATTTTAGAGTGAAGATAAGTCACCAAAACAACTTTTAATGAAGCTGTTTTAGTGTATAGAATAGATCATGTTCCTGCAGTTTCACAGCTCAATTACCTGCCATTTAGGAGTTAAATCACTTTTGTTTCTGTCCATGCAGCCCCAGTCACACCTCTTTACAAAAGTTAGTTTTCATGTTTTTTTTGCATTTTGCACAAAAAAACTGCCCTTTTACTGCTCTAAAATACTCATAATGGTGTTTAGCAATGTCTCACAAGTACAACATTACCACCCGTGTACAGGTTTTATGGGGTTTTGGAAAGTAACAGGTTCAAATAAAGGGATTGCAAATTAAATTCTCTTGAATTAATACCTGGGTTGTCAGGCAGAACCACCAATATATAATTATATAAAAATACACTTAAAAAAAACCAAAACAACATATACATAAAAAAAAAAAAAAAAAAAAAAATATATATATATATATATATATATATATATATATATATATATATATATATATATATATATATATATATATATATATAGGGGCGGAGCCTAACCGCGAGACAGGAGAGACGCCATTTCTGGTAGCTCCCGACAAAGCAGCGAAATCCAACACAATCCCCCTGCTTATCGGACCCATCCCGCTCCAATACCTGCAAGAACGGACTGGGGATCATCCGCAGCACCCATTGATGCCGTTCCTATACTCCCCACAACAGGGGAAGCTGAAACGCAAGTCTGGGGCCTACTTCCCACAGGCGCCCGCTTACCTCGAGGGGCTCCTCAGCAACCGGAGCCTGTACAGTGCTGCTGAGACGCCTGACTGCCGCATCCCTGCACACACACACCAACCTCCAGCAATGGGACGCAGATCCCAGAAGCCACAGCCTGGCAACAACACGGAGCAGCGGGACATCGGCACTTTCATGAGGCAAGTACCGACCAAAATGGCGACCACAGACGGCCCTGAAGGCCCACACCTCCCAACAACCCCAGATGTGCCAAATCTGACCCCCAGCCCGATGCCAGGAACACAAGGGGAAGCACAGACTATCTCCACAGACATCCCTGGGGGGACAGCCCCTGCCACTAAGCAGGACCTACATAACATGCAGAATACACTGCTAGAAATACAGAGGCTCCTCACTGCAGACATGGCTACCCTAAAATCAAGCATGAGACAGATCAGTGAGAGGACGACTGCTGCAGAAGGGGACATGGGAAAAATACGCGGTGAACTAACAGAAATGCAAAGCACAATGCACCAATTCCAAACTGCACAGCACAACATGGCGCTACAACTAATCGCGCAGGAAGATAGGCACCGCCGCAACAATGTTAAAGTCAGAGGGGTACCCCCCACGATAACAATGGAGGAATTACCCCACTACATGAGGAGGCTTATTGCCACGCTATTACCTGCGGCCCTAGCCAAAAAGTTCACCATGGCTGGACTGTACCGCCTACCTACCATCACCAAGACCTCGACCCCAATCACGGGCGATGTAATTATTCAGTGCTTGTCACCCCAAGACAAAAGCTACATCATGACAGCAGTGAAGGGCAAGACCCCAATGTCATTCGAAAACTCGCATCTAACATTCTACCAGGATCTCACCAAGGCCACGCTACAATGGCGCAAATCGTTGGCACCCCTCACTAGCCACCTACGCTCAGCGGGAGTAGCATACAGATGGGGGACACCGAGATCCCTTCTTGTATCCCATAATGGAACTGTTCACAAGCTCTCAGCTGAATCGGAAGCAGGAGCGCTGCTCCAGGCTCTGGGCCTTCCAGACGCCACACCGACCACCTCTACTACACCTCCTACCCAAGCCTGGGACCCAGAAGCAACAGTACCATTTGTGCCAAGAAGCACGCCAAAACCCACACCAGCCACCTGACTGATAAGGGAGAAGACACCGCCCCACGTTGGGAAGCAATCTGCAACAGTTAATCTATGTTATATATCTGTACTTTCCGCTTTAGTTCTCTGTTCCACAATACTAACATGTTACCCTTTTGGTTCTCATACCTTCCATGGCCAGGCCCTACTGGGAGCAGCTTAAGCCCTGTCTCGAAGGTACATACACACTAGGCACACCCACCAGAGGTGTACAACCCCCCCCGACGCCCCCTTGGTTAGGGGCATGTACCTCTTTTGGGAACCACATAGCCCGCCTGACACCACCTACTCCACTACTCCGGCTACCCAACGAATACCTCACACTCAACCCTCATGAGCCACGCAGCTACAAACCAACACTCTACAACCACCCTCACGTCACTCACTCGTTACTAACAAACACTCAGTATGTTAAAACTCTGCATCCACTCACTTTAACTAGCCCACACATACTGCCTCACATCGACCTGGTAGAGGATTACCATCACACAACCTAAATACGTTACTATGCACCGACTCCTCAACCGGGGCTACAACCCTACTACATTTATAAAAAATGTGTGTAATGTCTGTAATGTTGTACTAGTTTCTTGCAAACTTCATGCACTGTGTGATAAATGTTATAAAGTACTATCACGAATGTGCCCGTACTTGTTGTTGTGACAAGGCGAGCTCCTGTATGATTCGCTACGCACCAAAAATAAAGAATTATAAAAAAATAAAAAATAAATATATATATATATATATATATATATATATATATATATATATATAGGACTCTTGGCACTCACTCTTACGGTTTCAAAAAATTCAAATCTTGTTGGGTGCAATCCTCAGCGTTTGGCATATAACGAAAAATCAATATATAAGGAGCACTCACAGGTCTTCATCCAAAGTCTGGTTTATTCACTTGATCTTGAAGAAGACCCTGTGAGGGTCGAAACGTCGATTGTTTAAAGATTTGCACTAAAGAATAAACCAGACTTTGGATGAAGACCTGTGAGTGATAGATTATATTATATTATATATATATAATAGATAGATTTCTATCACAAATCCACGTTTTCAGCACTCAAGTTCCCCGGTCTTGTAACTGCCCGGGTGCCAACGCCAGCCGAAATGTATGAAAACAAGAAGAGTGTACTCAGGAGTCTGGTAAGAAAATAAAGTTTTTATTCAGCACATTGAAAAATCAACGTTTCAGTCCCCATGGTCTTGATAAAAGTCAACTTTTAAATGTACTGAATAAAAAGCATTAAGCACCCCTGAGTGCACTCTTCTTTTTTTCCCCATGTATATATAAATATATTTATAAAAATGAGAAATAATTTTATATATCTCATTTTAATTCAAAGTTTATTTATATCTTATATAGGACGGCTTAGCTGCCCTAACATCACAAAGGGGTTAAGCTAAAGTTGTTTTGGTTACTTTAGTGGCCCTGTAAATAAATAATATTTGAGTTTTAGGGCACCTATGCACATTGTATAATGTTTAAAAAAGAAGAATAAGGCTTTCTATAGACGACCTATGTTCATGCAACTTGCCAGCCTGAACAAAATTGGAAAATAAAATGTGCGGAAACCCACCCCACAAATATCCAAATTTGTATGCAACTAGCACAGCTAAAATAAAAAGAATTAGAAAAAGAAAAGAAAAAATATTGAAACACAAATACAAACTAATATACATGTAACTCTCAGGAATATCTCCGCTTATTTCCAGCAGTACATAGAAAAGGACAAAAAAAAAAAAAAAAATCAAACCCAAAAATAGAAAAAAAACTGTAAATTCACTGAAGCAAAATGAAAATATAAATAGTTCAGCTCACTAGAACAGAGAAGATACATAAATAACAGATAAAATTATTTTGTAATACTCTTTTTTTACTGGACTAACAATTTTGGAATGACAAGCTTTTGGGAGAACATTCCTTTCTGAAGTCTAAAGCATTTCTCAACAAAAACAACACATAAAGAAGTGCGAGCCTCTCACTTCCTCCCAGCTCAAACATACTCTGAGCCGCAAGGGAGGATCTTGACTTGTCAAGTGACAACTTGTAAGTGTGTTTTCTGTGTATGTATGTATGTAGGGTTTGTATCTGAATGTTTGAATCTGTGTATCTCTGTGTATGTGTATCTGTATGTCTATAGGTTTATGCCAGTGTGTGTATCTGTATAATTGTGTATGCAGTGTGTGTATCTGTGTGTCTGAGCATCTGTAGGTGTGTCAGTGTATCAACATGTGTGAATCAGTGTGTCCGTATATCTACGTGGGTCAGTGTGTGTCTGCACGTGTTTCAATGTTTTGTATCTGTGTGCCTGAACATTTTAATGTGTGTTAGTGTGTATCTGTAAGTGTATTTTAATGCCTATCTGCATGTGTGTTAGTGTGAATATCAGTGTGTCTCTGCAACTGTATATGCATCAGTGTGTGCATCTGTGCATCTTTACATCTACATCTGTGTCAGTGTTTGTATCTGTGTGTCTCTCTGTAAATTTGTCAGTGATTGTATATGTGTGTTTATGTATATGCATGTGTGTCAGAGTGTGTGTTTTTCTTTTTTTGTGTCAGTGCAACTGTATGTTGGGCAGACGAAGAGCAGGGGAACCTGGGGCAAAGGGAGGGCAGTGAGAGTCTAGGGTAGAGGAGAAGCAGGGGAATAACGGAGAAGCATGGAAGCTGAGGCAAAGAGAAACTTATAAATTTGAAATTAATTACAAACAATTTGCTAATACAGGGAGTGCAGAATTATTAGGCAAGTTGTATTTTTGAGGATTAATTTTATTATTGAACAACAACCATGTTCTCAATGAACCCAAAAAACTCATTAATATCAAAGCTGAATATTTTTGGAAGTAGTTTTTAGTTTGTTTTTAGTTATAGCTATGTTAGGGGGATATCTGTGTGTGCAGGTGACTATTACTGTGCATAATTATTAGGCAACTTAACAAAAAACAAATATATACCCATTTCAATTATTTATTATTACCAGTGAAACCAATATAACATCTCAACATTCACAAATATACATTTCTGACATTCAAAAACAAAACAAAAACAAATCAGTGACCAATATAGCCACCTTTCTTTGCAAGGACACTCAAAAGCCTGCCATCCATGGATTCTGTCAGTGTTTTGATCTGTTCACCATCAACATTGCGTGCAGCAGCAACCACAGCCTCCCAGACACTGTTCAGAGAGGTGTACTGTTTTCCCTCCTTGTAAATCTCACATTTGATGATGGACCACAGGTTCTCAATGGGGTTCAGATCAGGTGAACAAGGAGGCCATGTCATTAGATTTTCTTCTTTTATACCCTTTCTTGCCAGCCACGCTGTGGAGTACTTGGACGCGTGTGATGGAGCATTGTCCTGCATGAAAATCATGTTTTTCTTGAAGGATGCAGACTTCTTCCTGTACCACTGCTTGAAGAAGGTGTCTTCCAGGAACTGGCAGTAGGACTGGGAGTTGAGCTTGACTCCATCCTCAACCCGAAAAGGCCCCACAAGCTCATCTTTGATGATACCAGCCCAAACCAGTACTCCACCTCCACCTTGCTGGCGTCTGAGTCGGACTGGAGCTCTCTGCCCTTTACCAATCCAGCCACGGGCCCATCCATCTGGCCCATCAAGACTCACTCTCATTTCATCAGTCCATAAAACCTTAGAAAAATCAGTCTTGAGATATTTCTTGGCCCAGTCTTGACGTTTCAGCTTGTGTGTCTTGTTCAGTGGTGGTCGTCTTTCAGCCTTTCTTACCTTGGCCATGTCTCTGAGTATTGCACACCTTGTGCTTTTGGGCACTCCAGTGATGTTGCAGCTCTGAAATATGGCCAAACTGGTGGCAAGTGGCATCGTGGCAGCTGCACGCTTGACTTTTCTCAGTTCATGGGCAGTTATTTTGCGCCTTGGTTTTTCCACACGCTTCTTGCGACCCTGTTGACTATTTTGAATGAAACGCTTGATTGTTCGATGATCACGCTTCAGAAGCTTTGCAATTTTAAGAGTGCTGCATCCCTCTGCAAGATATCTCACTATTTTTGACTTTTCTGAGCCTGTCAAGTCCTTCTTTTGACCCATTTTGCCAAAGGAAAGGAAGTTGCCTAATAATTATGCACACCTGATATAGGGTGTTGATGTCATTAGACCACACCCCTTCTCATTACAGAGATGCACATCACCTAATATGCTTAATTGGTAGTAGGCTTTCGAGCCTATACAGCTTGGAGTAAGACAACATGCATAAAGAGGATGATGTGGTCAAAATACTCATTTGCCTAATAATTCTGCACTCCCTGTATGAGGGGTACAATTTATGGGAATGGGCTGCCAAGGGGTGCTCAAGTGAAAAAAGGCTGGGAACCCATGTCATAGAGGGTTGTAAATATGTTGTGTTAGGATCACTTAGTGAGGGGGAAGAGAGAGAAAAAAAAACAAAAAAAAAAAAAACAGTGCAGGAGATGGTACTAGAAGGAGGATAGTTTAAAAACAAAATAATAATTACACAGATTAAGAATGCATGCATTTATATCCAAGAATTCAGAATATGCATAAAGTCATATATAAAACCTATGCATACATGTATACAATGTACATACACATTGATATACATATTAATACACTCAAATGCACAAATAGATATCTATGCACACTTATACATACATCCATACACATGAACCAATACATATACTTACATATGTACAAATGTGCACACACACATACATACATAAACCTGTATATATGCATACGAACACTTGCACGCGTTCACATACATATATATGTTCATCAGTGACGGTTATGGAAAGTTAAATATTGCTTATTCACCTCACAAACACAGGAGATTTGTAACGAAATGTTGTTATGCAACAAGCTACTTACCGTATATACTCGTGTATAAGTCGATCTCATGTATAAGTCGAGTGCAGTTTTGTGACCAACAATCGTGAAATATGCTATGCCTCGTGGATAAGTCGAGGGTAAAACTTGGGGCTATGAAATTCTGTGATTTTTATAATTATATACACACACTCATACAAACACACACTCTGCATTATATACACACACACACTTATACAAACACACACTCTGCATTATATATACACACTGTGTATATAATGCAGAGTGTGTATATAATGCAGAGTGTGTGTTTGTGTAGTGTGTGTGAACTGGGTGGGGGGAGGGCATTTTTATTATTTAAATTTTTTATTTTAATATTATTTTTTTATTTTAATTTTTTTTTTGTCCCTCCCTCCCTGCTTGTTAACTGGTCAGGGAGGGGGGCTATCTTAATCCCTGGTGGTCCAGTGGCATGGGCTGTGAAGTGGGGGGGCCGGCAGGAAGCATTTACTTACCTTTCCTGCAGCTCCTGTCAGCTCCCTTCTCCTCCGTTCCGGTCAGCTCCACTGTAAGTCTCGCGGTATGGTTGCCGCGCGGATCGTTGCCATGGCTCTGACGGCCGCTGCTCTCTAAGTTGCCATAATACAGACAGTGACTCGAGTATAAGTCGAGGGGGGGGGATTTTAAGCACAAAAAATGTGCTGAAAAACTAGACTTATACTCGAGTATATACTGTACTCACATTACGAAAATGCATCTCCAAATTTGTTTGATGTGAGTGTACATAACCTTAAAGAGTATCTGTCAACATATAGATCTGGTGTGGGTTCGGCGAACACGGGAGCATGGGTGTGGAGTTTTCATTACCTCAGGCTGTCTATTTTCATGTTGCAAGTCCTGTTCTGCTCTTGGCATTTCATTGCACCCCCATTACACATTTTCGCACATGCACAAGTGTACAACACTGAGGTATATGAAGGTTCCAGCAAGATCCTCCACAGACAGACAGAGACTGAATCCCACAGTTGTCATTGGTGGCTGCTGCTGGGATTTTACAAAGGTTGACGGTGGAGCTCTGCCTTTTGTCAACCATAGGTTTTACCATGAAATCGTTGGATGACGTTGTACTTTCCATGAAATTCCAAAGCAGTCTTAATCAGTATTTCATAAAGATTATATTATTATGAAATATGGAAAATGACAGATACGCTTTAAAGTGTGAATCAGCACATGAGGCTTTGCAAACAGAGTATTATAATCACATCATCTTCATCGCCATGAACAGAAAGTAATTTAAATGTTCTGAAGACTAAAACAGAGAACTCACCGTGTTTCTGGTCAAGAAGTTCAATTTTCTCCAAGACATCCTTTCGCATCCTTGCAAAGCGTGAACGTGCTTCCTGCCGACACCGCAGGATTAAACGATATTCATAATTACCAGTACTAACACGATATAAAGGTTCTCCCAGTGCCTACATAACAGAACACAGTGCGCACAAACATTACTAATACTGAAGATTTGGTATTAAGTCACCAGAATGAATTCAGGAGAGTTTGATCAAAGGCAAAAAGTTAACATGGAATGATGTTGAACAAGACAATGAAGTTAATAGGTCTTAGTATGTTTTGGCAAATATATATGCTTTGGCTTGTGCGGATGTCTGCTTGATGTTCTCACCTTGCCTTATTTCACCACTAGGATCTAGAGACGGCATATAAACACTGATTCTTGGACTTATTCTGCCAACCCCTTGCTTCAGTACAGAACTGAAGCAGACAAAATTGACAATAATATCAAACAATGATTATACTTACAATACTGCTGTATTCTTCATCATCCATCTCTTTCACTTTCAAGCAGTAGGACTGAAAAACATCATTTCAAAATTTTTATTTTAAAATATAAATTTACACAAGAGTATTTTCTTTTCTGTAATAAGAAGGAAACTATAGAAAGAGGACATAAGCTGTAAGATGAATGCAATGTAAACTTTAGAAAACACTTTTTATTTAACTAAAAGGTTTTAAGATACAAAGAATCCCATGGCAAAGACTAATACAGCAGTAAAGTTCTAAAACGTATAGACACGGTACTGAACTAAAACAAAATCAATACTCAAGTCTCTCAAGGGTATTTACTAAAGTATGGGTAGTTAGGAAGTAAAATTTGGAATAGCTATTTAAAAAAATAAAAAGGGACACATTTCTCCTTTTATTTAAGTCCAACTCCCAAAAGCAATCCATCCCCCACTCAATGTGCCCGAGCCACTTACCCTTCCTACAACTGCCTTATATATTTATGCA